ACTGATTGGAATTGGGCTTTGCATGGCCTTCTTGACGCCCATACCCACAATAAGCCTCATCCTCATTCTCAAGGTCATAGGGAACCATTCTGCGAGCATTGGGAGTTCACATCCTATCCCACAAGTTCGATTAGACCAATCCTGCTCATCTCCCCTGTTCTCACCCAATGGCTCTTCAGGTCTATGCTCCATATCCCCCCATCTACGACGAAATCTTCCAAAGAACCTTATGAAGCCCATGGAACGATCCAGCCCTAGATACACTAAGGGTCTGAATTGGCTGTGTACTCATTCCCAAGCTCATGAAGAACCTTCTCTTCACCCCAACCTTCTTGCCCACACATAGACATACATGAAGTCAGGTTGTACCAAACCTGGCACCAAGGACATTCTTTCTCGTGATGCCACCCAAGCTCAAAACCTCATTGGACCTCACCAACACCCACCCAAAAGTAAACCAATATATTGTGCCAAAAATATGCTCTACCAATAGCATGAATCATGAGGATCAACCAACGTTGTACCCAAATGGTTCTGATCTTCCATCGGGCCACCTAACCATGCACACAAACCCATTTGCACCAGGCATTCCATGGACCCCATCCTCATTGATTGCCTAGCAAGTTTCCCTCTCACATGGTGCCCATGTCCTCTTGGAGGCCAAACAAACCCAATCGAAGCACCATCCATATTGCGCTGCTGTCTGGGGCATTTGCTCAATGGCTTGTATAGCAATACAATTTGCTCAAAGTCAGGATCCAAATCTCTCATGCCCAGGTGTTGCGTCTATGCAGCCGCCTTTGGTCTCAAATGAAATTGCATACATACAGCCACAACCCCAATGCCAGCTGTTTGATGCACCCAATGCTTCATCTCATCTCATCTCGTTTCATCCACATTGGAAGTTCCATTTTCCTATGCTCTCTAACTATATGCCCATCTCCAAATCAAGACACTCTTCCACACTCCACCATTGAGACCATACAGTCTAGGCATTCACCATCACCACATAGAGCCTGAATCCCCCATTCCTTCTCCATGTTCTGATAGGCAATGATCCAATTGGCATGGCTCTGATCTGTCAGATCTCTCATCAAGCTTTTGCAAAAATACTAGCTGCTAGCTCTCATGATTCCCACACAGAAGTCCATCAAATATCATCTATCAGCAAGTTCAGGACATCACATCATATATCATCAGATCATCACCTCTATGAGGGGGATCTTGTCTCCAAGACCTCCAATCTCAATGAGTCCTCAATCTCCAGCAACTGGGCCTGCCGGGCTCCTCCCCGGGAGAGGGGGCGGGGGACGAAAAAACAAAAAATTGCTCGTGGGATTGGGCAACCAATTTTAAATCTATTTTCGCCCCCCCCCCTGAGAAGTCCAGGCCCAGGCCCCAGTTGCTGGAGATTGAGAACTCATTGAGATTGGAGGTCTTGGAGACCAGATCTCCCTCATGGAGGTGATGACCTGGTGATGTATGATGGGATGTCGTGGAGTTGCTGATAGATGCTGGTTGATGGACTTCTGTGTGGGAATCATGAGAACTAGTATGATTGAATAAGATTGATGAAACATTTGACACATTACAAGTCAACATGTTTGCTAGACACGTTCTTCAAAACAACTAACATTTTCAAAAAAAAACAAAAAAAAACACAAATCACAAAACGCGTAAAAACCACACCCGCATAACGTCGTTTTCTGAAAATAAATAGTTATAGTATTTATATACATTTATATACCCCCAAAAAAATATAGCTACCAAACTAGGGAACAAAATTCAGTTGCATTCTCTCCCTCATCCGACTCATCCGATTCCAACGACTCGCCCGGACCTCTCTGGCTCGGATCGCAGCGATGGCCTGCTGTTCTTGCTGACGCCGTTTCTGGCCTCCGACCCATGCGCTTCGGGTGGAGATGAACCCCAAACCCCAAGAGTTTGGGAGATGTCCAAAACCTTCACTGATTCACTCACCAAAAGTTGTAACATATACATAAGCCAACTGGGTCTCTTTTTGTGGCATCTTTGGCTGCAACTCCTAGGTCAAAAGCAGAACCAAAATGAAGCAAATCTACCAAGCTCAATGTCTTTGAGAACTCTTCACTCTAATCCGATTAGTCTTTTTGTCTGCTCCAGTGAGACTGAACCTTGCATCAACGCCACGGGAGAGGGGAACCAAAAGCGCCTAACTTCATGGCACGTCGCAGGGGTACGCAAATCACTGGAATCCTCAGTGCAGCGCTGCAAGGAGTGGCTCTCGAAAAACAAAAACAGACGCAGTGATCATGGCCCAAATGCTGCCGTGAAAAATGGTTGCACCGCCGGGCGAAGCATCAATCATGGAACAACTACCGGGAAATAACCAATCCAAACCACTTCGGATGCTCCATCGATGTGAAGTTCGTTCCTGACACACCCACATACACCCGCACACACGGATCGAAACACCTGGAGAAACCGGATGCTCGAGGACCAGCAAAGATCGTGAACTCAGGTGAGCGCTCTATAGGGCTTTTCTAGGGCCTAATGATGGTGGGTACAAAGCAAGCAACCAGAGGAGGATGCCAAGTTACAGCCATGCCCCCAGCAAAGCAGAAGTGTCCCGTTTGAACATCTTTTTACCATTAAATAGCATAGACATCATTTGGGGTGGATAGATCGAATACACAAGGACTTCGTGCCATGCATCGCCGCATGACACCTTTTTGCGACGAATGCAGGTTCTGGTCAAACCGCCTTCGAAGGCGCCGATGGAGGCACGAACGAACATGGGGTGTCGTGAACGAGCCTGAGTCACTCCAACAGCAGGGAACTTGCAACTGATACGGATGAGTCATCACTGTTCCAAGCCTCACATCACATCTCACTTCCAACTTGGAGATCGCCTTCGGCCAGCCTCGCCTCGGAGCCTTATAGCTCGGAGTTCGCAGCTCGCGCAGCTTTGGGCTTGGGCGGCTTCCGCAGCAGTTCCCGAAGATCTCATCGCGGTGGCCACGCGCCGCGGAGAAGAAGGCGCGATGGTGGCGGGTGGTGACCAGTGACTGGAAGAAGGTCCAAACGTCTTTTTGTGGCTTTGAGGCTTGAAGTGCTCCAGACCATCCACGTGTGGAATACTTTATGTTCTGGGTGCAAATGGTGCTGGAAATCCTTCAGCTGTTTGGCTCGTCAACAATGTCCTCCTTTTCATTAAGCTAGATGAACTATAGATGAACGAAGTACCTCTGAAATGCCGCTTTCTTGGGATAGACGCATCCACTTGAGGTCATTCATTTACGCATCGGGCCGTTCACCGGCACACCGGCGCATCGGATCGGAAACACACTTGGCATCGGGCGATTCGCGAGGGGAAGCGGGTGGTTGAGCGCTGCCCAATGCTTCTCGCCGCTGTAGTACCTGGCGTGACGGCAGGCATCGCTGTGGGTGTTTCAGAGTTCCGGAACGGAAGCGGGGTTGCACGCCCCTGGTTCACCTGACAAAGGGGGCAACTTGGTGAAAGCAAAGTAGGAGGTGCCAAGTGCCAAGTACACAGGGTAAGAACAACATCATGTGTGCGTCTATGTTCCTTTCGTTTTCGCTTGCACGCAAGCAAGCGCGCAGTCCAAAGTGCGCTCCAACTGGAGACCAACTTGGAGCCTGTTCCTGTCCTCAACCTATCGGAGCAAGCTCAATGAGCTGTCTCTTTTGAGAGTGTGTCTAATTCTCGCTAAGGAAAAACGCCCCCAAAGTGGCAGTCTTCTGAAGCATGTATTCCTTGTCTCAGGTTGTTCCCCTCACCGGCAGTGAAACACATAGAGGCCATATCCGGCACGATTGGGTGTGGCGACCTAGTCACGTGCTTCGCCGGCGGAGACGAGGTCGACGAGCGGAGCGAAAAGAACCACTTGACGTGTAAAGCAAACGAGCACACCAATTCCTGAAGAAATAGAAGACAGAATGGCACAAATCCCTGAACAACACACAGATCCTTGGCACACAGAATGCGAACGAGAATCTGCAACATCTTGGACATCTAGAGTCTAGAGTCCGGAAGGAAGAGAAGTGGGCAAGCACGTGATCCCATGGTTTTGTGCTCCCTGGTTCTCCGGCCATACCATCCCCAAGCCCCCACCTCAGTTCTCCATCGATGTGCTCCCGCCAGACCTCCCTGCTGTAGTCTAACTCCTCGCTTGAGAGCCTCAAAGACCCCGCTTGAGGCGCTCTAAAGCAGGTATGACATGCTGAAGGGCGGTCAGGTTGTTGGCGAATTGGACAAATCAGGTAGTCTGCTGAAGGAATGTGAGACTGGGAGAAGGAACGCAGGCTTCAAACATGTGGACCAGCAAAACACCCAATGACATTGACTGAGGAGTCATTGTGAGCGTTCATCGAATCAGGGAAGCAATTTGGGATAGTTCGGGTACATGCGGATGAATCATCCCAAATGAATCATTCAAGTACCATATGAGCAATGGACAAAAACATACAAAAACTATAAACCATTATTGTTATAAGATGTTGCAAGAACCTCTTGGGGGTGGACATGGTTGGCCAGAACCCAGGGGGGGGCCGACCCACATGAAAGATCCAATCCTCCTGTCCGCACATCCTTGAGGTGATTGAATCATAGACGTTGGGTTCACCCCAGCGGCGGGCCTCGCCAGGGTAAAGCTGGACCACTCAGAGGGAAATTTCCTGCAAGACTCAATCTTTCACGGATGAAACGACAAAGGCTTGGCTTGCCTTTCTTGCAGGGTTTCAAGATGTTTCAAGCACCAAGTGCACCCCTCCCTCTCTCTGTCTCTCTCTCTCTCTCTCTCTTTCCTTTAGCCTAGCTTCCATGCTACAAAGGAGTCGGGCTGTGGCGTCCTGTATGAGACAATTCTCCAAAGCTGCCGCTGGAGGCAACAATATGGCTCAGTATGGCTCTCCATTTTTGGCCTGGAATGCCTGGAGCGTGTGACCTGGGGGGTGATCATGAGTCGCTCAATGAGTCGCTCCTGTCCACTTTCCAGGTGGCCATCGGATGCAGCAGGACTTCCTGAGTCACCAGATGTTGCCAGCTTTGCTGTGTCGAAGAGTTCCAGGACAGCGAATAAGACAGTTACAGTATGTTGTAAACCGTTCTTCCTTGTCTGCCTCTGCAATCAAGGATCTGCCTCTTGGAAGACTTTGGCGATGTTCGGCAAGATTGACTGCTGCAGCCTGGTTGTGATTGCACAATTTGTCCCAATGCCCAAGCAAAAACATATATGACATCAGGATTGTGCAATTACAGCACGCAGCTACATTCATTACTCATCATGACTCGCGCAAAATATATTTCCTTCTCCACGGTTTGTAGGGCTTAGAGGTCCTGGTCGTCTGGTGGAGTCGACTTCCGACACCACAGGGTAGTCGACTCGTCCCTCTCCGAGCGACATCTGGCATCTGGCTTTGTAGCCTGCCCGGGTCGTCTGTGAGCAGGGCCCAGTTTGGACCGCCAGCACGCTTGCAGCGTGCATGTGGCGGCGGCACAGGCGGTAGAAGTCTTCGCCTGGTCGCCGATCGATCTCGGAAGGGCCTGATGGGCCGGACCCAGTTGAAGAGCCATCAGCGCGTGAAGACGTGTGTAGCACAACATCCCAGTGTTGAGCTTGCTCAATTGAAACTGCTAAAGGAGGTTGGGAAACTGTGAGGTCCTCTATCAAAATCCCTGCATGATCACATAAATGTTCAGCTTATACACTCTGACTCAAGTTGCATGGAACTGATACAAGAGCTCGAACCGGAAACCGTCTGACCTTCCAGGGCTAGGCAGTTCATGAAATGATGTGAGTCGGAGTATACAGTAATGTATACATATATATACTATGCCATATACATATATACTGTATACACTTAAGCTTACATATACTTATATCTTATACATGCATGATTTATGATTATACATGTCATCAAGTTCATCGAGGCGCTGTAGAGTTTCTCTAAGACCTGGCTGTCAGCCACATCTGGGAAGTCCATGATTAAAACGTCAAAGGCGGTCTCCTCAGGCAGCTCCTGCAGAAATGCCATCGCATCTCCTGAGCGACAGAAGCGATAGAACGCTGAAGGCGTCTGGATCAAGAAGCCATGAAGCAAACCATAGTAACGCCAGCACCTTCTCTCAATCTGGTGGTTCTATGTCTAGCCGTGTGTTCCTTTTGCGGGGATCCCGGATCCTTATTCTGTGTCTTAATCAAGTTCTTCCTACAGGATCTCTCCCGCTCTCTCTCTCTCTCATTTTAGACCTCCCGTGTCCTCCATTTTGCGCGATTCCCCACTGTGCTGTCTCTGTCTCATTTGTCATGGTCGTGCATCCGAGGGGCCAGTGACCACCTTTAATCGCGGGTCCTTGAAACTGCCATTCGAGAGAGTTGGCATCCATTCCAGGGAAAATCTTGTAACTTCGTAGTCGATGTCGACCATGGTCACATTTCGGACACTTCTCCTCGGCAAGGCTGTGAAGCACAACGCTTTTGCGAAGACCAGGTGGGTCAACATCAGGACCAACGAACATGTTGCCATGTCGAGGCGATCCTTCTTTGTGGCGATTCATTCGAGACCTTAAAGAACCGACTTGTCTTTCATGACCTGGGACCATCAGAAATCCCTAGAATGGATTGAGTGATGCACCATGAAATAGAGGCATGAAACACACCCAAAGACATCCCCATCAATGCGTCCCAGCGTCCATCGCAACACCTCCCGTGGGCCGGCGCCATCACCGGAGCCGCCCAAGAAGATCGTCTCGGGGCCCCTGCCTGCCCTGAGCGAGATGGTGTTCCAAGGTCAGAGGCGGCCGCATGTTTATCCAAACTGTAGGTTCTACAGGCTAAAGGTAATTATGTATAATATTCATTGCCTCTGTCGAATAGGCTATTGCTATAATTATACTTGAGCGGGGAAACACGAAAGGTAGAGACGGACCGGGGAGCTGTCGGGACCTTTTCTGGTGAGGGACTGCCTCCGGTGTTTCAGGAACGTGCCCCTTGGTCAATCATGGATGAAACCAACAAAGCCAGAGAGCACAAGAAGGCTCAAGAGGAACACCGTTGCGGTCAGATTGCGCCACACGGCTCTGCAGAGAGGCTGCGTTACATCGACGCTCGTTTGTGTGAAGGTGTGTGAAAACAGGCGCGCGTAAAAGTCGCAATGCGTAAACGCTCGCATGTGTACCATGCAGCTATGTGCACGCACTGTGTCAGGATTACAGGCCTGCACGCGTTGCGTCGAAGCCGCAGTGACCAACCCCCTTGTAAGGATAGTGCTGGAGGGGTGCGGCCGGTACTGCCAGGGATGGACGTCACGCTATGGTGGGTGTGCTCCACGATGCGGAAGGACTTCGCCACGCTAAGGTGTAAGGCTGAGTCGAATGGTGTTCCGCGACGCGAGGGGTTTCTCCACAGGGCTTTGCACAAAGGCTGCGTTGCATCGATGCTCGTTGGTGTCGAGCAATATGGTCTGTGAACGCAGTACGCGCTGTGTCAGGCTGCCGGGTGCGCACGAGTGGCATCGAAGCCGCATTGCGCGACCTCATTGCGCAGGGTTCGTGCTGTATTGCGCAACCTCATGGCCAGCGTCGTACTGCTGTGACTGCTAAACGCATGACTTCACCTTATGTCCAGAATGCTAGTAGTGCTGGCGACGAGGGGAGGGGACGGGAAGGGAGTGGAGGGGAGGGGGTGAAAGAGTGACTAGGGCGTACACGGTAGAGGTGCAGACCGCTAGTGTCTTTTGCTCACGCAGAGTCTTATCCTATATCTCTTGAGCCTTATGGCAGTCAAGCATGGACACACTAGATAGGCCACTGGAGTGGAACCTGTACAGGTATGCCTATACATTTCAACAGGCACAAAATTCATGTCCACTCCTGCCTATTGCGTATGTCGCGTACTCTTTTCTACCGCAAGGCTAAAGCAGTCCAGCAAGCTCTAAAAGGAAACTACGGTGCCCTGTACTTACCAATTCCAGTGTGTTTCACACTTTAGAAAAGGTAATCTCTAGGTTTACTAAATACAGTGAGGGAGCAATAGCTGACTCACCTCAAATACAAAGTCAAAGACAATGTACCTCGGCTGGAGACTGTATTGCTCACCGGCGAAGATACCGTGTACCGGCGCTCAATAGCCCTTAAATAGCTAGAGCTTTAAAGAAACTTAAATTCAAGGGAAAGCGGCTTTCTTACACAGAGACCTGTAAAAGCAGTAAACGACACTCGCGTAACGAAGAACTAAAAATTCAAGACCGCACAAATTGCAATGAATTAGGATGCCTTGCAAAATGCAAGGAGCGTCAACTCTCGGTCCGAGGAATGTTCTTCTCTAAAGGTGGTCTCGGCCGCTTCCATACACAGGACTTAAATAAAAATGGAACTGCATCAAAAGGACTCTTTCTCATTTACATCACAAACACAAAGAAGGAGACACCGGCAAATGTATGTACAAAACTTGCACTACAAATGCAAACTTATGAAATGACTTAATCATCAACCATGAATGGTTGTCCATTAGAGGTCATCTCAGAAAAAGCGGCTGTGATAGATATCATCAGTTATGCAAAACTGTCCATACCTATCTGCATGCTAAAGCGTATAAACCTGGAATGCAGGAGTATCTTCTTTGATAAAAAGTTTCTCCTCGTTGCAAACCAGAATTTATTAAAACTTCAGCCTGGCAACTTAAAGTCAAGCCTGGAAGCAAGGTATCAACTGTAATCAGAAGTATCCTCACTTCCTAGCCATCATTAAAAGTTAGCTTCCGCTCTGAGTTTCATGCCGCTGCAGTCGATGAAGCTGCTTGATCAGAAGTTGGCGGCCTACCTTTCCTTTTATTCTCTTTCTGTTTCTCCTTCCTCCGCAGTTTCGCCTCATGAAGAGTTGCTCCCATGCGATACTGTCTTCTGTCTCCAGATGAAGAGGAAGCTGGTCTGAGTGAAATAAACATTGGACCATGACTGTCCTCGTCAGTGGGCCTTGAGCACATAACCTCTGTGTCAATCATAGCAAAGTTCTCTGAAAAATTACAGATGATTCGTGCTCACTGTGGAATTTTCATATTCCTCTTCACTCATCGAATGACCCCATTCAACAATGGTAGACAAACATGTATCTCCAAGCTGTGATCCCTGGTATTCTTCTTTCTCTATTGTGGAGTATTCTTCCCAGAGTTTATCAAAGTAATCTTCACACTGCTTGAGAACAAGTGAAGTTGAACTGTAAAATGTTCTGGGAATAGGTGCTTTGATACCAGGATCTGCTTTTACACGGGCTTCTGAAAATCTGCGGATCCAATGCTGCATGGTGCTGTAATAATAGTTAGCCATTGGCTGCCTTTTGTACCCAGACATTCTGTAGGCTAAACTATTTGCATCACCAGAAATGATGTCCACCTCATAGACAAAACACTCATAAAGCATCAGTGCTGTCTGTTTTCCTGTCAGTAGGTGGGCATCCACAGCACGGTGTGTATCAACATGATAATTACAGACTCTGATGGTATGCATGTTCGCTCTAGTAAGTGGAACACGCTGGTCCTCAGGACCATAGTCATCAAATTCAAAGTCTGCATCCTTGAATTCTTGACGAGGCCTTGTTTTTCCAAAACAAATCTCGTAGATAGCCCAAGTTACATCACGCTGTTCACAATGACCAAGGTCTTGGTCATGTCCAGCAATGATCTTGACATATCCACCTGGTGCCAATCTAGCCATCACTGCAAGATTCTCCCAATCATTGAAACAAACTGTCCAATTCTTTTGCTCAATGAATTCCTTGGCAGGAACAAGGAGATGAGCTTCCTGGAGAATCACGATATGTGCACGTAAAAAGAAGAGCATATTGAAGAAAAGGTTGTTCTCAAATTGCTCGTATTGAAGTGACATGGCGCTCTGTTTGCGTGGCCTCATTGCACTATCAAGTCCTTGGAGAAACCTTGGTGTGGTGTACTTCTGACCACGCACCATGTTGCCATAGTTCCAGGATAAAAACGTCAAGGACTCTGAGCTGGCCAATAAGTTGGTTCCATATTGTTCTTCTATTCTTCCTTTGAGGAACCTTCTGCACAGCTCTTCATAGAAGGTGACAAAATCCCAACTGGGTCCATTGGGACCATATGATTCCAGTTCCTTCTTGAGTTCCTTCTTCGTATCCTCCAATTCTTCTCGAGCATGCTCTGCCCTTTCAAAGGACCTTGGATCGACCTTATACTTGCCATCCAAATAACTGATGCGGTCATCATTGATGAAAAACCTCTTCAAATCATGCTCTGAGTCGTGTTCATAACAATCAGGTGGAGGTACTGGACAGACACTTCGAATGGATCGAACAAAATCATCCTCGTTGATCCTCGACTGATAATGAGGATGGGAAATCTCACCTTTTCTGAAACAAACATGGTTCAGCAATCTTGCGTGAGTTTCCCTGAAGCATAGTTGATAAAAGCCAATACCTGGATCTCCTGTAAGCTCTCCAAGCAACCTCAAAGGTGAGTCAACTCATAGGTATTGTTAGCATCCACAGGATCTTTATCAACAACTACTTCAGATGGAAAAGACTCTTGGATTTCGGCCTCCAATTTCTTCTCTCCATCATCCTCTCTGACCTCCCTTATCTTCTTCACCGCCTTCTTCTTCTCCTCAAGAGTTGCATCATCCTGAACTTCTTCATGAAAATGAGGATCAGGAATCTTATTCAGGCGGCTTTTCTCAGATTTCCGCTGACCTGAAGTATCCTCAAGGTTCGCATCCTTCTCACCTGATGGTAAGTACGATGCAGCGGAGTCCTCACCTATCTCTCTTGACAGAAAGTGTGGTGTTGACTCCTCCTTGGCTTCCTCTTGGTCAACTTCCATCTTTGGTCCCTCTGAAGGAAAAGTACCTGCATTCTCATCAAACATTTCTTCATCTTTCTCAGGTTCAACTGCAGGATCTTCTTCAGGGGCTTCCTCTTCCATATCTTCATCTTTCGTCAACATCATACTACCAGTGTAGATTCCACCAGCGATAGTGGAGATTCTTGTGTAAGGAGGAACTTCTTCACCTGCCTCAAAAGCTCGTTCTGCGACATTCTTGGTGAGCAAGTCCTCTACAAGATTTTCTCCCATGGTCCTTAGAAGAGGTTCTGAGGTCTCATGAAAATCTGTTCTCTCTGAACTGAAAACTTCTGTTGCCTTCTCATTGTCCTTTTTGTCCTTGAAAAGATGAGTAATCTTCACTGCTTCTCTTTGTAGCACCTGATCACCTTCTCTATACTTGTTGACAATGGAGCGCCATACTGGTACGTCGTCATCATCAAAATCAAGCTCCATATCATCTGCCAGCAAGTTTGAGATGTTTTGAGCTGCCTGTTCTTCTTCTTCCTCACGTTCTCTGGCAAGCTCCTCATTCTTCTGGATCTTGTAGACACCCTTCAGAATGTTTTGTAGTACCTTTAAGTTCAGCTTCGATGATGGCTCATACGTCCCTGAACTTACAGGCTCAACTACAACACGAGAGCAAGAAATCGCCTCCAAAAACTTGGAATTGTATTGGCGTTCAAACTCTTCCTTCTTGATCATCTCATACAAGGGATCAGAAACTGCAACACGCGCCTGAACATATTCACGAAGTTGATAGCATGCATGTTGCACAAATCTGCTGTTGGAGTTGTGAAGAAAACTCTCTAAATGATTCCTGTCACGGTCAATCAAATACCACACCACTCTTGCAGAAAACCTGAATTTCTTGAAGTTCATAGCAAAATGTGTATGATACTTCTCTGGATTCACTTCT